CAAAATAAATGGGCAACGAGTGGTTCGGGCAGTCAAGCATGCCCAAGAGAGGCGAGGCGGTCCCAGTGCTCGCCTGAACACTGAGGTGAGCACAGGTTCATTCTCCTCCTCCTCCTCCTCAGCCTCCTCTTCATCCTCCTCCTCTCACTCTCGCTCTCGTCTCATCCCGCGAGCCCTTGGGAGAGAGGCCGCGCCAAGGACATCGAGGGGCCCTTGTCAACCGGCCCGAGGATCGCATTGAGCGCCCAGCCCATAAGGGATTTGCCACGAGGGAGCTGCTGATCCTCGTGTGTTCTCTCGGCACAGAGGATTCCCAGAGAGCAGGATGCCGACGGCGACGGAGCAGCGGGCCACGTTGGTCCTGGAGGATGGGTCGTCCTTCCCCGGCTTCGTGTTCGGCGCCCCCGTGTCCTTCGCCGGGGAAGTCGGTGAGTTCGTGCAAGATTCTGTATGGTCATCCAGATTATTTTCATCACTTCTCTGTAATTACTGCAGTGTCAGTTAGCCGCCATTCGTCATCGTTTACATTGTACAGTACAACAGTGTACATGTTTGTCATCATTTTGTATAGGCCTACCTTCGTTACTGAACTGACATTTTTGTTTTTACTTGTGCTTGGGTACACAAAAAGTGCTTGCATACATACATCACTGACTATCCAAACATACATAACATACATACGTACATGCATACATACATGCTTGCTTACTTTCTTACTTACATAAATATATAACTGCATACATCCTTATATACATACATACAACAGTAGACTTACGTTCATGCATACAAACTTACATACATGTATACATGCATACATACATACATGCGTATATACACAAATGGACATACATGCATTACATATTTTCATACATGCATACCTAATAAAACATACATAATAAAACATACACATAATAAAACACATAATAAAACACATAATAAAACACACACATAATAAAACACACACACACATAAACACACACACATACACGTAGACCCACATACACGTAGACACACATACACGTAGACACATACACATAGACACATACACATAGACACATACACATAGACACACATGCACATAGACCACACATATGCACATAGCACACACATGCACATAGACACACATGCACATAGACACACATGCACATAGACACACATGCACATAGACACACTTACATATAGACACATACATAGACACACACATAGACACATACACAGACGCACATACACACAGACGCACATCCACATCACATAGACACACACATCCACATAGACACACATCCACATAGACACACATCCACATAGACACATCCACATAGACACACATCCACATAGACGCACATCCACATAGACACACATCCACATAGACACACATCCACATAGACACACATCCACATAGACACAACATCACATAGACACACATCCACATAGACACACAACACACACACACACACAACACACAGACACACACACACACAGACACACACACACAGACAACACAGACACATACACATAGACACACATACACATACACATACACATACACATACACATAGGCGCACATACACATACACATACACATAGGCGCACATACACATACACATACACATAGCACATTACACATAGGCGCACATACACATAGCGCACATACACATAGGCGCACATACACATAGGCGCACATACACATAGGCGCACATAGGCGACATACACATACACACACATAGGCGCACATACACATAGGCGCACATACACAGGCGCACATACACATACACATACACATAGGCGCACATTACACATAGGCGCACATACACATAGGCGCACATACACATACATACACATAGGCGCACACATACATACACATACACATACACATAGGCGCACATACACATAGGCGCACATACACATAGGCGCACATACACATAGGCGCACATACACATAGGCGCACATACACATAGGCGCATAGGCGCACATACACATACACATACACATAGGCGCACATACACATAACATACACATACACATACACATAGGCGCACATACACATAGGCGCACATACACACACACATACATACATACATACACACATACACACATACATACATACACACATACATACATACACACATACATACATACACACATACATACATACATAACACACATACACATAGACACACATACACATAGACACACACATACACATACACACACATACAGAACACATAGACACACATACACATAGACACACACACATACACATAGACACACATACACATAGACACACATACACATAGACACACATACACATAGACACATACACATAGACACACAACACATAGACACACATACACATAACACCATACACATAGACACACATACACCATACACATACAATAGACACACATACACATAAGACACACATAGACACACATACACACACATAGACACACACACATAGACACACACACACATAGACACACACACACATAGACACACACACACATAGACACACACACACATAGACACACACACACATAGCACACACACACCATAGACACACACATAGACACACATACACAATAGACACACATACACATAGACACACATACACATAGACACACATAACATAGACACACATACACATAGACACACATACACATAGACACACATACACATAGACACACATACACATAGACACACATACACATAACACACATACATACACATACATACACATACATTACCCACACCATACCATACATACACATACATACAACATACACACACACACACACACACACACACACACACACACACACACACACACACCACACACACACACACACACACACAGATCATTCACACATACATATATACACCCCACCACATGCAACTTACACCCACCCACATGCACTTACACCCACCCACATGCACTTACACCCACCCTCATGCACTTACACCCACCACATGCACTTACACCCACCCACATGCACTTACACCCACCCACATGCACTTACACCACCCACATGCACTTACACCCACCCACATGCACTTTGCACTTACACCCACCCACATGCACTTACACCCACCCACATGCACTTACACCCACCCAACATGCACTTACACCCACCCACATGCACTTACACCCACCCTCATGCACTTACACCCATGCCCCCATGCACTTACCACCCACCCACATGCACTTACACCCACCCACACACTTACACCCACCCACATGCACTTACACCCACCCCATGCACTTACACCCACCCACATTGCACACTTACATGCACTACACCCACCCACATGCACTTACACCCACCATCATGCACCTACACACACACAGCTACACACACACACACAGACACACACAGACATACAAACACATACAAAAACATACAATTCATACAAACATACAAATTCATACATGCATATAATATACATACATACAAATACATACAAATATACATATACATACATGCATATACATATACATACATATACATACATATACATACATCATATACATACACATACATATACTGCATATACATACATATACATTACATGCATATACATATACATACATGCATATACATACAACATACATACATGCATATACATATACATACATGCATATACATAACATACCATGCATATACATATTCATATACATACATGCATATTACATACACATACATATATGCATATACATACACATACATACATGCATATACATACATCATACATACATGCATATACATACACATACATACATGCATACATACACATACATGCATACATGCATATACATACATACATACATGCATATACATACACATGCATACATGCATATACATACACATACATACATGCATGCATATACATACACACATACATGCATTATACATACACATACATATACATGCATATACATACACCATATACATACATGCATATACCATACATACACATACATACAGCATATACATACACATAACATACATGCATATACATACACATACATACATACATGCATATACATACACATACATACATACATACATATATACATACACATACATACATGCATACATACACATACACATACATACATGCATATTACATACACAACATACATGCATATTACATACACATTACATACATACATGCATATACATACACATACATACATGCATATACATACACATACATACACACATACACATACCATGCATATACTACACATACATACATGCATATTACATACACATACATACATGCACATACATACAACCAACATACATACATGCATACATACATACCACATATACATACCATGCATATACATACACATACATACATTGCATATACATACAACATACATACATACATGCATTATACATACATACACATACACATGCATATACATACACATACATACATACATACAGCATACATACATGCATATAAACATAAACACAAGACATACATGGCATATAACATACACATACCCATTTTACATGCAGTATTACATTACAACATTTACATTAGCATGCATATACATTACCAACATACCATTACCATGCATTTATTAACATACACATTACATTTTTACATGCATTATACATAACCACATTTACGATTTAACATGCATTATAACATTACCCAACATACATACATGGGGCATTATTACAATTACACATCATTTCCATGCCATTATAATTTCTACAACCCATACATAAACATGCATATTTACCCAATACACCGATTAGCCATTAACAGGCAATATTACATTTTTTACCCAAAAAACATTTACATACATGGCATTATTACCATAACCACCATAAACATTTAAACATTTTGGGCCATTTATACCATTAAAACCCCCAACCATTTTAACATTTAAACATGGCATTGATAACCATTTTTTAACCCCCCCAACATTTACATTTACATTGGGGGGGGGCATTAATAACATTTACCAACATACAATTACA